AATGATTTATATTCAATTTGTTTGGCAAATGAATCCATCATTTATGTCATATTATGCACAAGACTGAGTATATGATTATGTCGTGTATATATCATAAGATAACAATTGGATACATGGTTAAGTCACTGGATGACTATAAGAACATTCTAAGAATACTTAAGAATAACTAAGAGACAATATATGAGATAATCAGTTTAGAAGAATATGTTTATGTAAAGAGCTACACAATATGCTAACTTCAACACACACACACACACACACACACACACACACACACACACAACCCCCTTAAGCCTTTAACTCAAATACCCCCAACCATACTCTTCTAAAGATTAACCTTGAGACATGAAGCAAGGTGAAAGTGTGAAAGCAAGAAAGGATCCTCATATATATATATATATATATATATATATATATATATATATATATATATATATATATATATATATATATATAAGGCCTGTAGCTTTTCCTTTGACTATTTCCATATAAAGATAACATAATATGCATATTGGAAAATGTAAATATTGGGCCCATAATTAGGTATATCAATCCCATGAAAAATCCATTTGTGAAGAGTTTCATCCGTTATGGCTTTAAGGCTCTCGACGGCTAGATGTAAAGAAAGGGGATAGAGTATCCCCTTGTCTTACCCTTTTTCCATCGTATCTATTCTTAATAAAAGACTCTCTACACAGCCACATGTCATCTTTTCAGGCTTAGTATTTGACACATGGCATTCTCCTATTTTTCTAGAAATTTTTTTCCCGCTCTTAGCAATGAGTAACGTAACAATTCTTCTGGATTTTTCTACTTTTTAGTCTATTATTAGAACAGCTAGACTAGATTTTCAAAATTTCCGGATTTTTCTATTATTTACTTTGTTATATTTTCAAAACATTCCTTAACTAGGTCCCATTTCCTTTTTAAATTGCAAAAAATTATAACGAATTCCGAAAAATCGGGAACAAAGTTAATTCAAATACCTATCTTCCTTTTGAGTCCTCTGTCACAATTTACAATCAATTTTGTAGTTTTTTTTTGCTGCAAGCTTTCGTTCTGCTCGATCGTAACATCCTCCCAACCACATTATTTTGTTTACACAACTTTTAACAACCACCAAATGTTTTCTTTGTATTCGATCACTCCATAGGGATGTCGAAAATCCTAGCCATAGACGATGCTTACTTCATTGAATCCTCTCCATCGTTTACCCCGACCACCATCCCACCAGTCGTTGTTCGTGTAACGCCGCCAACCAACTACCGCACCACCATGAAGGTGATTAAAGGAAAAAATGATGGTGTTGTTAAGATCTGAGATCTGAATTCCGCGTGACCTGATCTCAAATTCGTCCTTTTTTCTTCTACTTCTAACCCAACTACAACTCAATAAGTAAGTTTGCTGTGAAAACTCAAGCCTTTCTCCATGGTAGTTGATTTGTCAAACCTCTGGTATGCGTCCATACCACATGGTCAAATTCCATCCTTCTCTTCTCTACTGCTTTACATATTATTTACTGAAATATTTTGACATGCTCAACGTTTTCTTTTAACTTACAGATCTCGGTCTATAAATATCCTAATAGAAATCAGGTGATATCTAAAAAAAATTTGACAGCCTATAAAATGATTGTAGTTTTTATGTAACTAATATATTTACTATTTGTATATTTTGGAATGCTTATATCTTTTTCCATCTCGAATACTATGATAAGTTGGCAGACAATGTTGGATTCCCCACTTGGGAAAGGAAGAGAAAATATCTTTTCTTTTTTTCTCTTGATTTAAATGAAAACTCTTAATTTTCAACAACTTTTAGCTGGCTATTGACTTGAGTTGTAATGGTCAAAGTATGGAACAGCAAGATGATATCAGTGATTTTAGATAAAAATGGTTGAAGAGGTAGTGGGTGCTGAGAATACATGGTGGGAGTTCATTTCAGTTTGAATCCAAACCAAAAGACATTTCTTACAATTGATACTCTTTCTTGTATTCTAATTTGCTCTTAGTTTCATTATTTGTTTCATATTCATCAACCAAGATAACAAATATATTGAAGATATATTGTTTTCATTTGTCATAGTTGCTTTTCTGTAGAATAGAATTTTCACAAAAAAACAGGAATTGGTTATGGTGGGAAATAATCCCAATTTTGAGTCTGGGGTGGATAAAATGTTACAAAATGGAGGATGAATATTGTTTATAGTTTAGTTTCTATGGGATACTATGTTCGACCAACACATTATTTTTTATGCTGTTAGGTTGCAAAGAACAAGTATAGAGGAGGAAAATGGCTCAATTGATGTTTGATTTTTTAGGTTGCCATGGGAGATTACTGTATGAATATCTTAAACTTGAATATTTTAAACTCGGCTCTTTTGGTAGAACTATTTTACACAGCTTCCCGAATAAGACAATGAGTTTTTAGATATTTTTTACTGGCTTTAGACTTTTGGTTTTGATCTTCATGTGTTATTGTTGATAATGCAAATCATAATTTCAACTTTAAAATGTCAAATATATAGATTATGTACTTTGGTGTTAAGAATGTTGTTGTGTAAAGTAGTTTCCATTTTCTAAGTGAGTATTTAACTACTTATTAATTTATCTTTTTAGGTATAAAATATATAAATTAAAAGTTATCTCATGTAAGGTCAGATTGTTTTGAATTAGAAGCTTAATTAAAACCAAAGTACAATGCTTACTTAAACTAACTTATAAAATGTTGCTTTGAACCAATTTTAGCAAAATGTATTGATGTTATGGCGTATTTCATATGTGCATAACCAGAGGAATCTAATGCTATCATTCTCAGTGAAAACCATGCTAAATCATGTAAAGAATATGATATCTGCCCAAAATGGTTTGGAGCCAACTCAATCATTTCTATAGAAAAAAAACAGCGACTGAAATATGAAAAGGGTGAATGGTGAGCCGCAATATGAAAAGGGTGAGGTCCTGACTTATTAGAAAATCAAAGACTGAGAGTTTTTAAAATTTTGATAATTTGAAATTGAATGGTAAAAAACAAAGTAATAGTAATTTTCTGCAATATGTTGCTGTGAGACTGAAATTTTAGGAATGGTTAACTCAGCAATAGGTTGTCTCGTCGTATCATTATTAGTTAATTATTATTATTAAATTAAATTATCTCCTATTTTTTAGGGTAAATGGCACAAAAAACACTCTTTTTACACAGAAATTCGATTTTGACACCGTGTTTTTTTTTGTCAATTTTGACACTGTGTTTTCCAATTTGTTACAATTCTGACCACTTGACCGATTAACCAGATTACATGCTGACGTGACATGATGACGTGTCAGTTTTTGATGACGTGGCATGCTGACATGATATGCTGACGTGTCAAAATTGATTTTTTTTCCACAAAAATACTAAGTTTTCGCATTTTTTCGATTTTGACACTATGTTTAATTTTTTTTTCAATTTTGACACTATGTTTTATTTTGTTCCAATCGAACATCATTTATTAAATTTTGTTCAATTTTGTCTATTTTCCATTTGAAACCGTATAAATATATTTTTTTTATTACATTTTAAACCGTATAAACATATTTTTTTCGTTTAAAAACCACATTTTTATTTAAATACAAGGTGTTTTTTTTTCTTACATATCTATTTAACAGACAAGCTTAATATAATAAGAATTACTTTTATTAGAACATTAAATTAAATGTAATAAAAAAACACATTGTATTTAAATAAAAATGTGGTTTTTAAACGAAAAAAATATGTTTATACGGTTTAAAATGTAATTAAAAATATATATATTTATACGGTTTCAAATGGAAAATAGACAAAATTGAACAAAATTTGATAAATGATGTTCGATTGGAACAAAAAAAACAGTGTCAAAATTGAAATAAAAAATTAAACTTAGTGTCAAAATCGAAAAAAGGTGAAAACTTAATGTTTTTTGTGGAAAAAAAATCAATTTTGACACGTCAGCATATCATGTCACGTCATCATGTCACGTCAGCATGTAACCTGGTTAACCGTTCAAGTGGTCAGAATTATAATAAATTGGAAAACATAGTGTCAAAATTGACACAAAAAAAACACGGTGTCAAAATCGAATTTCTGTGTAAAAAGAGTGTTTTTTGTGCCATTTACCCTATTTTTTATGCCTACAATTATTATTTTAGCTACTGAACAATAAAAATAATATCTTAAACCTTATAAAACAAACTTATGGTGGTGTCAATATCAAAAATTTAATAAATTTTGATTGCTACGCATCCAATCAATTCTATGTTATTTTAATTTGTCTACCGTGTAGTACACGGGTTATAACCTAGTTCTTTTTATATACGAAAAAAACACAAATTCAAATTTCATGTTTCATCCGTATCATTACTTGGCACCCCTAAATTTTCGGTTCATATCCCATGGGTTTCAAACTTATTAGATTACCTACCATTAAGAAAGGGACATGCACGTCGCTGAAAAATATATAAAAATATCAACAAATTAAGGAATGTTAATGCGGACTCCACATTAATTTACTAGGCCATCACATATATGGTGCCAATTAATTAGGTGGCACTTAAAATTTTATCATATTGTGCAACCTATATGGATGAATATTATGTAAATAATTAAACCAATGAAAAAAGTATTTTAAACCTTAACAAATAACAAATATAACACGAGAAGCAAACTGAGTTATTCATTCATTAAGTATATCTGACGAGCAAAAGACTCAGAGGAATCTTCACAAAATGATTACTCTGGTTTTGACATAAACACACCGATGGTTCTTCAACGCCACCATTTTCAAGATATCACAAAAACAAAAAGATCAATAAAAAAACAAAAAGAAAACCCCCAAAGTTCTTTCTTCAGTTCGACCTACGTGATTCGAATTTACAAAGATATATTTCAAGACTCTCAATGCATGAGTTTGCGATTGCTTTAATGCACGTAATAATTAGGTACTTATTTATGGAGTATTTTTTTCTTTTATAAACTTGAGGTATTTATGTGATTAATGATGGTGGGTATTGTTCATAGATGGACGTAACGTTATTATTGCAAGGCCATGCAGATGGCAGTAACTGGTGGTGGAGCTGCCGAACGAGCAGTACTTGACGTATGTCCCATAGTTTTTGTTGAAGCATCACCGATTCCGATCGGAGCCTCTGGTTTTCTTCCCGTACGAGTTTTCCATGGACGTTCACAACCCGTAACTGGTTCGCAACTTCCCTGTTGTTGGTCTTAAGCCGGTTCATCTGGTTCCTCAGGTTCTCCAAGTGCTTCTGTTTTCTCATCCTCGACCGCCGTGCTGACTCCCGGTTTGATATCATTCGTCTCCTCTTACGTTCATCCATCACGTTGGCATCATCAGAGCTGTTTGTTTTCGGGGTGGAGTCGTCGGAGCCGGAGAAGGAGAAGACAGGTTCTTGGGGTGATAAAAGGAATTGGTTTTCTTGGGTAAAACCTCCGGTGTCAAAGAACCCGGCTCCGTCAGAGGGGAGATGGTCACCGGCGGTGAATACTTCAGACAACATTGCCGGAAAAACGTTTAATGTAGTGAGGAAGGTAGGAGAAGGAAAGGGAAGAAACGATGGGTTGGGATGCCGTATTTAATGGTGAGTTTGGTGAAGGTGTTGTTGAGGGTCCACTCGAAGCATTATTGTCAGAAAAAATAATAATTTTAAGGATATTGCTTTTGAGTCAAGAGGCACTTAATGGTGGGTCTAACGTGGCCTTTTATAAAAGATGTGGGTCCCATAAGATTGATGTTTCATGCTTAGTCACGAAGTAAGAGAGCAGGTGGGAACACTGTTGTACACGTGGCTACAGTCAGTTGGGCTTGTGTGGAGAGTGCCAATAGGATGGAGACTTGCTGACGTGGTTACAGGTTAGCGGTAAACGCGTTAATTATGGTAAAATGGGATATCGTCATGATTCATGGATCTTTAGATGTTTACTTATCACTTGATGCAAAATCTAGGTTATGGTTGTATGTTTGTGATATGATAGGGCGTGGGCATTCTATGTCAAATAAACAATTTTTAACGTGGGAAATATATATATATATATATATATATATATATATATATATATATATATATATATATATATATATATATATAGAGAGAAAAGTTCAATAGAGAACCATAATTATTGGTTCTTCAAGAAACCAAATCTTTTTTTCAATTTCTAGAGTTTATTCTTTATCAAAAAAAAATCTAAAAATATCTAAATTCATATATTAACATTATAAATGTGAAAAATATTTTTCGGATTCACCGTGTGAATCCGGATTCACATTGTGAATTTTCAAAGATTCACATTGTGAATTGGACATAAAAAAAAAATCGAATTTGATATCATTGGAAAAAGGATAAAAAGTTATGAATTTCTGTATTTTTAGTTTTTTTTTTTTTTTTGATAAAAATAAGTTCTAAAAGTTGAAAAAAAGATTGGTTCCTTGATTCCTTGGTTAATTATGGTTCTCTATTGAACCTCACCCTATATATATATATATATATATATATATATATATATATATATATATATATATATATATATATATATATATATATATATACTAGGTTATAACATTTTTTTTTCAATTTCAATTAAATTGTAGCTTAGTTATTGAAAATTGATAATAAAATCTTTAGTAATTAAAAAATGTATATGTTTTGCAGTAATATGATAACATAACTATTGTAAAATAAAGTTTTTGAAATATAATACTCTATGCAAATAAAACCGATATTAAGAAGTGATAATTATTAATATATGAATATCCATTTATTCTAACCTGATATTGAGTGATTCACGGTATATTTGAATTGGAAAATTGAAAGATAATTATAGACCATATATACATAAATGTTGTAATTTTGGCAAGATAATCTCCATAATAAAAATTGAGCAGCATTAATTTCGGCTGCGGATTTTGAGGGATACCGAAATTCAAATATGGAATTTTAAATTTTCCATGTAATTCAATATGGATTGAGTAAATGTGTATTTGGGCGGGATAAAATTATGTTAATTGATTCACATAAACAAATATGTATAAAATATTCATAAAAATCAATATATCGAAAAAAAAAGTGTTTGGTCTTTTATAAAATATGGAATATGGAGTTTTCAATTTTCAATTTGTTTTCAATATGGATCGAGTAAATGTGTATTTGGGCGGGATAAAATTATGTTAATTGATTCACATAATGAATTATTTATAAAGTATTCATAAAAAGCAACCTATTGAAAAAAAAATGTTGGTCTTTTATAAAAATTTTTACCAACGGTTAAAGACTTGTTGGTCAAATATTGTTTTTGGAAATTCAACATTTTAATGATCAATTAAATCTATTGTTTAATAATGAACATCATATATTTTTTAAAAACACATGGGAAATCGTTGAGTATATTCCACAATATAGATATAGATAGTAATAGCAATGTAGTTTAAAAATAATTTAATCACTGTAATTTTGATTTTTTAGAACATGTTACTTTTCAATTTTTTTTCACAATATTAGGGATTGTACTTAAAAATAGAAATCAAGTAAATAGGATGGTATAATAAACAAATAAAGTAAAATTGGGTTGTTATTTGAGTAAGATACAACATAAGTACGGATTTTAATAAATATTACCCCGTTTTTCAACGTAATTAGAAGTCATTGTAGCAATTTAATTAGTGTCCTTAAATTGAATTGACAAACATAATGCATGCAGTCCTACTGTTACCTACAGCAAAGTGTTTACTAAAGCATTCTATGAATGTCATAACATAAAAAATTAGAAAGAATAAATGACCAAATCATATTGTCCTAAAAAAATGTTGCAACATGCATTCAAAAGGTTTTATGAATGTATAAGAAACAAACCAATAAAAAACCATCACCGGGAAACAAAAGTCTTCACACTTAAAACCAAGATGTTTAAATAGCATAATGAAAAATAAAAAGTAGTCTCTGATCATGTAAATCCAAATTGGAGAACCCTTCCAAATTAATCACGAAACCTTAAGTCACCCATTTTTTTTCCAACTTTACCTTTAACAATTCTTTTCCTGGACCATCTGGAGATATCTTTGGAGTTTTTGACGATGATAATTTTTCATTAGACTCCATATCAAAAACTTGTTGAAGATCTCGCTTTAAAACTGGTGTTGTGGTTGAAATCTTCATTGGACTTGTTGCCGAGTTTTTGTCCAAAGTTGAAGGAGTTATGTTATCATCCATAGCAGAAATTGCATCCTAAAAAAACATTTATGTAAAATTGTTTTTTAAAATGAAGTACTATTTTATATTATATTTCGATACTTTAACATGTATCATACCTTTAAAGTCTTGTTGTCTTGAGATTCAGAATCAGCTGAATTAAAATCTAATGACTGTGAATTATCTGCCTGTATACATAAATAAGTAGCAAAATAAATTATTTATTAAATACTACATGGTTAGGTAAATAACATAAAACAAACAATTAGTAATGGATTTACCTGGGAACAGGTAAATCTATCTTCCAGTTGTTCAATTAAACTCTCATCATCAGTAACTCTAGAAATACCATATTGGTTGGTTTTTTTGGACACATTGAATCTGGTAGAAGAAATTTTAAAAGCAAATTTCAACCCTTTCAATGCATTCATCTCCACTGCATATAAATCAACATTGTCTCCATTCTGCACTTATGAAACATTATCAAACATTCTGGTTAAAGTGAAAACAAATACAAAATTTACAACATTTTATATAATTAAGGAAACGACCTTGGATGCTGCGTTAAAAAACTCTTTGGCTGATTTCTTCAACAAATACCTTCCTTCTCTTTCAAAGACAGTTAAGGTGATTGTGCTAGTGTTATCTTGCACACGGATCGGGATCTTAAATCTAGGAAAATAAAAAATTATATTAAAATATATTTGGTATTAGATAGTTTTTAAAGATTCTTATGGAAAGTACAAACCTTGAAACTACAGATGTTTTAGTTTTTGTGCAATGTTCGTTATGACATTCATAAGATTTAGTTGTTCCATCTACTTCATCATTGATAGGGACTGCTTTGCTACTGCAGTTGGTACACGCTTGATAAAACCATTTTTCATTTTGTAATATTCCTTTTATAGTACCCACAATAATGAATGTACATATCTGGATAAAAAAGTAACTTATTTAAAATAATATGGATAGCAAAAAAAGTATATTAATTAATATACCATCACATATACCTCCACGGGTTCCCAAACTTCAGAAATAGTCTTCAGCTTATTTTTAACCACGAAATCATCATATTCAGAAACTTGGTTAGAAGGAATAAGTGAAAAAGTATGTGAAGAGGAATCAGGACGATCATCCCCATCTAACCTGTTTTTTTTTCATACAACTCATAAAATATTACTTACATAAAGTGTAATGATAAAAACAACACTATATAACATAAATAACCTTCTCTTGAAAACAGTAATCTCATCTATGTCAGAGTTAATGAACAATCTTGAGGATGTATAGTAGGTGTTGACATTGGGACGATCTATAAAAAAATATAAATATTATTTAAATTCAACTGACGATCTATAAAAAATGTATAAATATTGTTTAAATTATTATCAGATTGTATTTTTTTGAGAAAATCAAAATACCTCTCCAAACATTAATTTGTGCAAACTGAAGTATAAAAATGATTTGAAGATTGTTTGGATTGTCTTGTATATACTCTTGCATCTTGGTACGCATAATCACCCCACAAAACCAAACACAGTTCCAAACCACTGAGAAGGCAACAATTAGTAAGTTAATTATACATAAACATAATATTTTTTAAACATAAAATATAAACATATTGAAAAACATACTTTTCATTTTGGATATGGATGTTCATCTTGTGTTTGGACTTATCACTGATTTCTCTCCCCATTTCCCCAACAACAACAAGCAATCCAATAATATCTACAAAATAAGAAAAATACGAATGAAGTGGTGTTGAGAATATGGAAAGCAAATATCATATATAAAAAATAAATTTCAAAAAGTTTAAATATAATTAAGTTAAAAATATAATAAATAAACATACTGAGTGACAAATTTTGAGGATGAACCATTGACAGTACAGATTGAAAATCAACAAAAGAAAAACCAAATCTAGGCCCGCTAAATTCGGTACATTCTTTAACAACGGTTTCCTGCACAAATGCGAGTTTCTGATCTTGGGGAGTTAGCCTAAAAGTATCATGCTTCAGAGCTGCAAAGCTTGGACATGTTATGTAATATGACTTCCCATCTTTCAAAACATTTTTGAATCGATAGAGCAATTTTTTAGGGACAGCTGCTTGTATTTTGCTCCCCTAAAAAACAACAATATATTATAAGAATTAAACAGTAAATGAAATTCAATATGTATATTTAACACATACGTAAAGATATATATAACATACTTGTTCATCGACCAAGATTAATTCAATAGACCATATTTCATGCTTTGTTGTAGAAAGACATCTGCTTCCAAAAGTTTATGACACGAACCTTCAGACTCAAATCATCCCTTATTACATCCAAATCAGCTATTAAAGTGATATTTGTTGCACACATATCCCTGCAAATATCAAAATTCATTGTATAAGTTTGATGCAAAATAAATGGTAACTACAAGAGAGTATTAGTGAAATCATCTTTAACAGTATATATGTACTGTTTTTGAAAGACATGTAATTTCTCCCTAGATCTGATTCATCATTTTTTTTATTGAACAAGTTCATCATTGAATAAAAAATAAAAAAATTATAATCATAAACAAAGGAATAAAAACAGAAAAGAGAGCATTGTACAGGGATTGTATGGTGGATGATATTTGAGTAAAGTATGATGTTATATTATGATAAGAAAAGTATGATGCTATATTATGATAATTAGACTTTAACAAAATATGAATTATCAAGTAAAATAGAATAAAAACATATGTACGGATAGCATGGTACTTCTGGAAATAATTTTTAAAAGTATAAATTATGAAAAACATTCTACGATATTTGGAATAAAAACACAAACAATGCTATATTAAAAACAGAAAATAGAAATGACTAAACACAATAGATGCGAAAAGGGCAAAATGATAAATTTGAATAAAAAAGAAATAAAATAAAAACTTTAACAAAATATTAATTTTTGAGTAAAATAGAATAAAAAACAGATGAATAAATAGCATGGTACTTCTAAAAAGTTATTTTAAATGGATAAAAATATAAAAATTATAATCATAAACAAAGGAATAAAAACAGAAAGGAGAGCATTGTACAGGGATTGTATGGTGGAGGATATTTGAGTAAAGTATGATGCTATATTATGATAAGAAAAGTATGATGCTATATAATGATAATTAGACTTTAACAAAATATGAATTATCAAGTAAAATAGAATAAAAAACATATGTACGGATAGCATGGTAAGTTTTTGCAGCAAATGATCCACCCTTATAGAAAAGAAGGTTAAAAAAGTAAGTTTTATTTTATAATAGTTTTATATATACAAAATATGATGCTATATTATGATAATTAGACCTTAATATTTTCAGAAAATTTGAGTAAAATAGATCCCTGTTCAAAAGAATTGAAATATAAAATAGGATCCATACTTTCAATGATGTGTAATTTTACCATCAATCAAAAATAGATGTCTAAATAGTTGGGTAATATTCTGAAAAGTTATTTTAAACAAATCATATTTATGAAAACCTTTTACAGGATGAATAAAAACATAAGCAAATGATTAAAAATAGAAAATATGGACGACTAAACAGAATATATGTGAAACTGCTTCTTGACTTTATATTACAATCATACATAAACACATAGAAACCTAGACATCAAAATTAATCATAACTAACAGACATTAAAAAAGTATCAAATCATGTATAGAGATTAATCGAAGAACAAACAACATACTTATATAAGACCCTATGTATTCAAATGATGAATGAGAAACATACAAATAATTTGGTTGACTGTAAATTAATGATAGAGAAACACACAGATGAATAAAAACATAGAAATATAGATATGGTACTTCTGGAAACTTATTTTAAATGGATAATTTATGAAAAAACTTATAGCAGATGAATAAAAACATAAAAACTTAATCAAAATATGAATATTTGAGTAAGAATATTAGAGTAGATAACCATGTTCCAAACATTAAAGTATGTACATTTGTTTGTTGACTAATAAAACGATATAAATGGGTTGCAATCGAAATAAAGCACAAACCTTTTGTTATTATCGTCGACTGACTTTAGTTTTGCCTGTTCCTTGGAATTCATCAGTAATCAGAGAGACGGTCGTCAAAGTTGTTTGAAATATAATAGTATGTGCAAGTAAAACCGATTATAGGAACTGATATATGCCTATGCATTTATTTTTAACCTGATTTTTAGGGATTTTTTACGGTATATTTGAATTGGAAGATTGGAAGATAATTGATCAGCATTAATTTCGGCTCCTCAATTTAAGGGATACAGGATATTGAATTCTTCAATCTTCAATTCAAGGGATTATGACGAAATGTGTATATGGGCGGGAATTTTTTTTGTGAATTGCTTGATATAATGCCACGTGGCAGAGTCCTAGTCTAAGAGTTGGACAAGTGGATTTTAGGAGAGGTTTTTATTAGGATTAGATATATATATATAATATATATATATATATATATATATATATATAATATATATAGGTAAAATTTTAAATGAAAACCACTAAAAATTAAGAACTCTAAGAACAACTTATTATTAAGACTATTTTTCTTATTTCATAAAACCTGATGCATTACTCTCGTTGTTTTACAAAAACAAAAGGAATTATATCATCTACTTCAACCAGCTGTGATAAATACCACCACCACCACTGCTGACGGCCCAGTTCCGCTACCATGGCTGCTCCACCACCGCCACGACGCCCACTGCCGCCACCATCGTTGACAGCGGCTCCACTTCCTCTACCTCCCTTCCTCTCTCGCAACTTCCGATCACCTGCGAGAACACATACATCTGTCGCACAAACTTCAGATCTGGAAGCGCCTCTTTCAGATCTAGATCTGTTGTCACTGCCTCTTCTCGTTCATTACTCCGATTCGCCGCTAACGACCTCAATCTACCACCAACAACTCGGCCTCCTTCAGTTCCGTTCTATCTCTAAATCGCAAAAATGTTTCAGATATGGAGAGAGAGTATTACCGCCGACGTTAAACCACCTCCACCACCTCCAACGTCAAACAACCACCTAACAGAGCACTAGAAAGCTTATTTGATATGCTTTGCCGGAACACTAGATCTGATGGAGAATGAAGTTATCTGTTGCCTCCAGATTACCGAACACCTCCAGATCTGCTTTTTTGTCAGCCAATCTCCTCTGGATCTACGATTTCATGTTGATCGCCATCGACGTCACTTTACCGACATCACTCTACTACCGCTATTGTCGATGTCATACCACCACCGTTGATGCCCTACCATAGGTGTTTGTGGATTTGAAGCTAGGAAGCACTCTCAGATCTGGAAACAAGAGTTTTGAATATGTTTGATGATATGCTAATGAAAAAAGGTATGTTTTAAGTTGTGAATGATGTAAATGTGTTATTTCAGGTTAGATTTGGTGTTTATATGTATGGTGTATCTGTATCTATTTGGTGATGGTGTATACATAAAAAAATTCTGCAAAAAAAAGATGCACACAAGGTGCTTGATGAAATACCTCAATGAAACTAGATAAATTATTAAGTTGTAAATTTAGTTGTGAATGTTACTGGTGAAGTTTTTTTAGAGTTAAACAATGAATAAATTGTTAATATAACGTCTCTTTGTATATTTGTTCAGATCTTCTGTTTTATGGTGATTATGGATATGATGTATATGGTGAACACAACGTGTTTGATGAAATGCTTCAACGAAATTCGGTAAGTTATTAAACTGTGAATATGTGTTTTTTATATATTAATTTGTGAATATATAAGTTATTAAACTGTGATTATATATTTTTTTTTCACTAAATTGTGAGTTAGTGTTTGGAATATTGAATTAAGTTGTGAATTAATGTCTCAAATATTGAACTAAACTGTGAATTCTGATTTTTTTATATCTAGATCATATTTTTTTTTGATTCACTAAATTGTATATGTTTTTCTTTTTATGTTTGTTCTGAAATATAAGATAATTTATGTATGTATTAAACTGTGAATGATTTGTTTAATACAGTAACATATGAGATTATACTTGTAAATGAGCTATAAATGTATAGTATTAAACTGTGAATTTTGTGTATTAAGTTGTAAATTTTATGCACAACTTAATATAATAAATTCACAATTTAATACATAGAAATGTCTGCATATATGAATGTATAAATGTAATTTTTAAGTTGATAATATTGATGTAAATAAATAATTTTACGTATTAAACTGTGAATTGATTATATTAAGTTGTAAATTGATTGTACTATGTTGTGAGCTTGTTATGAATTTTGTGTTTGCTTCTGAAATATGATAAGAAATAATCATTACACACATATATGATTTTTTCTAAATTTAAATAGATTATACAAAAACTTAAATTAAGAATATTGTGTAAATTTAACTTTGAAAAAAAACACTAACCTTCATATCTGAAAGTATAAATGTAAGTTTTAAGTTAAGAATATGACATTTCATTGTATTAAATTGTTAATTTAATATATTAAGCTGTGAATTTTATGTATTAAACGGTAATTGATTATATTAACTTGTGAACTGATATATGAAAGTGTAAATGTAAGTTTTAAGTTAAGAATATGACATTTCAGTATATTATTTTGTTAATTTAATATATTAAGTTGTGAGTTTTATGTATTAAACGGTATTTATTATATTAACTTGTGAACTGACTGCAACTTACTATGATTTTTTTTTTTATAAATTTTGTGTTAAAATATAAATGATTTATGAATGAACTTTTGTATTAATGTTAGAATATATTTATTTTTTGTATTGTATAAGTACGTAAGAATGCATTAGTTTTTTTAATGGTTTTGTATTAAATTCAATATGGGTGAATTAATAGGTTTATTAAATTATGAATGTAGTATTTACCCTCTCATTGCATGACTTTATATGCAGATCTGATTTTCAAGAAAAGATGGTTGCAATGTTGGCATAGGTGGTTGGTGGCAGCGTGTACTGGTGGTAGAGTTTGGGTTTGACTTCTTAGATTTTGAATTAGTGTAAAATAGATTGCATTAAGTTGTGAATTTTTTCTATTAAACTGTAAATGAACTGTATAAATTTTCATTTTACATAAATTTTGGGTTAAAAATATAAAACGATTGTATGAATGAAAATATTAGACTAAAAAAATACGATTTTTCCCTTTTCTTAACAAACATACAAAAATTAAGATTTTAACATATGTAGTAATATTCACAATACATATTACTTATTAAATGTGAGTTCGTAGGGTTCTTAATCTTTTGTGGTTCTCATTTGAACCACTCCCTATATATATATATATATATATATATATATATATATATATATATATATATATATATATATATATATATATCTATATATAT